TTTTCCTCTTGGCTTTGACTCTCCCGCTGGCTCCCTTAGAGCCCCAGTGGGGTCCTGGGACAGGCCTGTGCAGCACAGTGCTGGCAGGCAGGTGGGGGGCTGAGACCTTTTCTTCACAGACAAATGTCCTGCAAGAAACACCAGCCCCACAAAGTCCCTGTCCTCTTCAGCTGACCACATAGATCAGGGCCGGGGACTTCCCCCCACAGGATGTGTGGACAGAACAGGTCCCAGCCACTGTCATCTCTTCCTCTGCTCCCAGACCCTTTGGAGAGAGAACAGCTGTTTTCTCCACCTTGGTCAGGAGAACTCCTTATCCCTTAGTTCCCATTAGCACACGGGGTTCTCAGGCACAGCCTCAATAAAAGTTGTCCAGTCAAGACCATGAAAGCAGCTGGGGTCTCTTACTGTCCAGCCATAAAAAGAGAAACAACACACCAAATAGCCAAGCCAAGAAGCATCCTTGCAGGACAGGAAAGAATTTATAAAGGTATCTATATAAAGATAACCTTGTTTTAATAGAAAAAGGAAATGAGACAGAAATTGGCTCTTTTTACTGAGGGGAATGGAATCCCGTGAACTCAGCTTCAGTTTCACTTGGAACAAATGTTTACCGAGTCTCCTACGTGCTGGACACTGCAGTAGGTGCCTTCGCCATAATTCCATTTCTTCCTCATCATAGTGTTAGGCAAAGAGGAAAGGAAGCTCAGTGAAGACAGGGCAGCTGTTCAGAGCCACTAAGAGCCTGGAATTTCCTCCTGTTAGCCCAGAACTCTTTCATCAGCCTATTGCTGCCTTCTCCTAAATATCCTCATGACATGTGTCTTCATCTGTGAGGATGGGGCACAGGTGGATACTACATCTCAAAAAGGTTAATAAAAGATCCGGTCCATGGTTCCCAAGTATCCTATGAGAGAGTCGCGCAGGTCTCCTTCTCCCCGAGATACTCCCCTCCTCCTCCTCGGTTTAGGGGATTTTGCTCTCAGGCTGGCCTGTCCTACTCCAGGCACAGGCTCCTGCTGTCCCGTCCATATCACTCTGCACTTTCCCCATCAGAGCATTTCACACTCCACATAGTGATTGTTGTTTGTCATCTATCTCCCGTAACTCCCTAGAAACTTCTAGAGGGCAAGGACAAGTTTTCCTTTGTTTATCATTGATTTTCCAGTGCTTGGAACATAGTAGGTGTTTAGCCGAGATTTGCTGAATCATAGATTGAAAGAAAGAATGGAAAGATGGATGGAGGGATGGGTGGATGTTGGTTTAGAACTTTCCCCCAAGCTTTCATGACTCAAAGAAATTGAGTAATTTATTTTTCTGTTCCTGATAAGTTAACTTACCTAACTTCTCTAGTTTGTCTGCAGTATCATCAAAAGGTGGTGAGGTATAAGAGGTTTGAATCTTCTGACTTCATATCCTGCCGCAATTGTTTACTAAGGCATAATATGCAATTTATTTAATCTCTCTGAACCTTAGTTTTGCCATTGTAATATGGTATTATGAGGCTTATTAATGAAGTTTATAATCCCTGGAATATACTAGGAGGTAAAAAAAAAATGATTGCTATCAATCATAGAACATATAACAGTATATTAGATCACTTATACTCTCCCTTGGTGCCTCTTTTGTCTACCATTCCCTCTTCCACCCATAGTGACTATCAGATAGCTAACCCTATCAAGCCTTTCTTCCATGTGTCTTCTGCATTGTTTCAATACCCTCATCTTAACTGCCTATTTTAATGCAATAGGTTCTAACCAGTTTGTATCCTTCAGGTTTCCCTTTCAATGCATCATGCACTCACATGGTAGCTCTAGAATCCCTATAGAGGAGAGGTTTAGGGTGGCACTTTTTGGATCCCCAGAAAGTAGGGAGGATAAGAGGAGTGTCTTGAAGCTGCATATTCATATCACTTTGCAAAATATTGTGACAATTTCAATTGTCCATATTAAAGCAAGGGCAGGGAGCTTGGGGGACATGAAAGGGGTGCTAAAGTTCTCCACTCCTGGCCAACACTGGGGTCACTTGTGGGCAGAAACTGCCAATTTACACTCCCTAAAATATATTTCTCTTCAAAGTACTTTTTTTTTTTCTTTTTTTATTTTGGCATATTATGGGGGTACAGATTTTAAGGTTTCAATAAATGCCCATTTCCCCCTCAAAGTACTTTTTGTTAACATTTTTTCCACGGGCCTAGAGAAACTCCAGAGCAAGTTCTAGAATCTTCTGCCTCACTTTCAGAACCCCCTACAATGCTGCAACAGGCTGACTGTTCCAGGGCATTTTGCTTTCAGCACTGTTTTCATTTCATGTATTTCATTCCATTCAACGCTCCCTGAACACACCAAAGCTGTCCTAACTCTGTCTTTATCCAGGAATGTCCCCACCACTGGCCTCCCCATCTCCTCTCCTCTAAAGAAATTCTATTCCCCTCCCCAAGGCCTGGCTCCAGCATGGGTCCCCTTCACATTCACCCCAGCCTAAGGGGCTCCTTCTTTTCTTGGAATCCCAACTGTTTTTCTTTACTGTCAGGATAATTTGCTCTGGCACTTAACTGTGTAACGTTCTTGTACGGTTGTTGAAACATTTCATATGTTGATGTTTTTCTCTTCCACTGGACTGAGAGGTCCATTTAGGATAAGGACTGCTACATACCTCTTTGGATCCCCCGTGGCACCCAGTCCAGTGTGGGGCCCAGGCGGGTAGGCTGAGCTACAAACCATCCCCAGAGAAACTGTCACTCTGCTCGTCTGGCCCACAGACCCGTGACAACAGAAAAAAGTCTTCGGATTTAGGGAGTCATCTCCAGGGGCTCAAAGACCCTCCCCAAGAAATATGTGCCAAATACCTCCTGACTACAAGACTTTGGAATTGGGAAAACTGAGTGATTATGACCCAATCTCAGCCCAGTCTAATCATTTCCTGTGTTGGTGACTAATGACCTAGAGCTGAAGGCATCTTGTTACCTTCAGCTTGAGCAATGTGGGTTTAAACACACATCTGCCTACACCCACACACATCTGTCTTCATGTGCACCCCAGCCCTCAAGCAATAAACAGCAATGCTGTTACCAAGTTCTTGAGAAAGGCCACCAGCAGCGGTGGAGGGTGGGGCTTTAAAAATGTGTGCAAAAATACCACCTCTAGAGAGAAATAAAAAAGGGGAATCTGGGTGAAGAATTTTTGCTTTTTTTTTTCTTCAATTTTTCTGTAAGTATGAAATAAGGTCAAAATTACTAAAAACTTGTAAAGAAGAAACAACTAAAAATTGCCTTCTCTATGCAGTTGCCCTGCCACCTTCTTCAGCCTTTAAGAATTGCTTTTTCCAACATATTCATATGCAAATTATAGTTGTGAACATATCTATTTTCCCTATTAGACAAGAAGTATAAAATGGGAAATAAAGTTACTTCAGAGTCAAAGAGAGCTTTTATATGCTTTTTAATATAAAAATAATATTTAAAAACATTAGAGTAATAATATTGGGATTAAGGGATTTTAGTACTTTCTGATGTGGGGTAAGATATTCAGCCCTAAGTTATGGTTTCCTCATCTTCAAAATGAAATTAAAATGACTATCCTTTGGCTTTATCATAAGAATTATATGAAAAGGTAAATAATATGATCCCTGGTCCATAGTTGGTGTCCATGACGTATTGCTCTAATTTTTTAAAAATGTTAATTACCGTGTTCTACTCACTTTGTGTCCTCACGCCTAAAAAGCACCTGGCACAGAGTGGTTGAATAATAGTTATTAAAGGAGGGAGTGAATAAATTCTGCATTTCTACTAAAGCAAGTCTACAGCTTATCTCCAAACCCCAAGAATAGCCCTAGCTTTTCCAAATTCGAGTGATCTAGTGAGAGTTCCACAACCTCTCTCCAGGCCTCTGCTTTCCTCATCTATGAAATGGGCTGGTTTTCATGACAGCCGGGAAGGACTAGCCAGTTAGAGAGGATTAAGAACGCTGGAGAGAGAGAGAGATGGAAAAACACAGTGCAAATGCGTGACCCGCAGCCTGGAGGGGTTAATCTCTCTAACCGCAGTCGCGCTTCTCGGAGCTGTGGCCCCACCCCAGCATAGGCTCGGAGGGTGTGCGACTGCATCCTCCCGCTTCAGCGGGGCGGAGGAAGAAGCCCTCCAGGGGCAGAGAGTGCAGGTCCAGGCCATCGAGATCTGAGTGCCGCCCTCGCTGCCCTTTCTTCCTCCTCCTCCTCTTGCTGCCACTGAGCGGCAGGGTTCTAAAGGGCAGACCCCACGAGGCTGTCCCCGGGGGCCGGGCTGCTCGGACCCCGGACCCCGCCCTCCGCGGGCCTCCCTGGCAGCTGTCCTGGAGCCCGGGGAGCGCGGGCCCTTGCACGGACTTCCATTCCCTCTGCTTTCTTTTCTTCCTGAACGAGGGTGCTACATTTTTTGGCGGAGGCCACGTGCAAGGCAGTTTGCTCCAGTGCTGCTGCTTCGTTGTTTTTTCTTTTTCTTTTTGAGACAGAGTCTCACTCTGTTGCTGGGGCTGGAGTGCAGCGGCAGGATCATCACTCACTGCAACCTTATCTCAAACTCCTGGGCTCAACCCATCCTCCTGCCTTAGCCTCCCGAGTAGCTGGAACTACAGGCGCGCACCACCACACGAGGCCAATTTGGCTAATATTTCTATTTTTTTTTTTTGTAGAGACAGGGGTGGGTCGCGCTCTTGCTCAGGCTGGTCTCGAACTCCTGGCCTCAAGCAATCTTCCCGCCTTGGCCTCCCGAAGTGCTAGGATTACATGCGTGAGCCCCCGTGCCTGCAGTGTTTCTTAAGGGACCCCATATTCCACTGAGCTCCGGATCCCCACGCCCCTCGGGCGATGCCCGGCTTAGCACTGCCCAGGTCTGGGGCCCGGCCACTGCAAATACTGACAGCAGAGGAGGGCTGGGCGGGGGAGAGAAAATGCGAAGAGCCCAGGGGAAGCGAGGCCAGGCGTGGCTGCGGCGCCAACGCAGGCAGCTGGGTCCGAGGAGCAGCAGGCAGCGGGCTGTGTGGCCGTCTTCACTGCACGCTGCCACGCTCGGCTGTCCGCGCAGTCAGTCTGGCAGTTTCTGAGCGACAAAACCAGACGGGGAGGGGAGGAGAGAGGAGGAAAGAGGGGCGAGGAAAGAAGGACAAGAGGAATGTAAATAAAAGAAACGGTGTGTGAGACAGAGAGAGATGGAAGAGGAGGAATGACAGATTTGCGAGGAAGATGGAAGCGGAAAGAGAGTGAGAGCAGAAGAAATGCGAGCGCGAGGCGGACAGGACAAAGTGCGGACGGACAGAGGCGCTGACAAGGCCTCATCCGGAGACTCTTGGCCGAAGTGTGGCGGATTCTCCCCCCACGGGATCACTCCGGCCCCGGCGCCCCTGTCCCCCGCCCCCGCCGACGCACGCCTGTCCCCGCAGCGCGGCCCCCACGGCTCACCCCAGCGCGGGGGGAGGGGAGGGCGCGAGGGAGGGGCTGCGGTAGGAGGCAACCATGTGGTTCCAGCTCAATTTTTTTTTTCCTCTCTCTTTCTTCACTCCTTTTTCTTTCCAAACAGGGAAAAGTGTTCCGCGAAGCGGTAGCGCCTTTCCGCCTCGCCTTCCCCTCCCTGCCCGGGTCCGGGCTCCCGTCCGGGCGCGAGCCGCCGGGCGGGCGCTGGGAGCCCCTCTGCGCCCCGGAGCGCAGGGCGCGGGGCCGCCTCCCGCGCCCGCACATGGCTGCAGCCACCCCGCGCGCACCCCGAGGCGCCGCGCCCAGCTCGCCGGAGGTCCGTCGGCTGCGCCCCGCCGCCCCGCAGCCAGGCAGCGGCTGAGCGGGGGAGTGCCCGCGTCCGCAGATCGGGATGTCCCTCCTCCTCCTCTTGCTAGGTGAGTCCCTCTGGAAGGGCGGGAGTCCGGGCGGCCGCGGGCAGACGCAGCCCTGCGTCGGGGGACCCTGGTTCTGGACCGTTGTCTCCGCAGCCCGCGGAGCGAGTCGACTCCTCCGTCCCTGCCTCCCGGCCACGGAGGAGCACATCTGGCAGGGGAGGACCGCCCAGTCGGCCATCGAAATGTCTCGCACATCTGGGCCCTTGAGCAGACGTGGGGGGTGGGGGTGCTTCCTGGTCCAGTTTGGCCCTGAACCTCATGTTCAGGGTCCTTTTTAGGGTGGCGTTTAGTTGCAGGAATATCTGAGAAAACTGGGGGATTGGGGGAGGGAAGGTTTATCCAGGAATTTTTGTGCCAGGTTCCTGAGGGTGGGGGGAGTTTTTTTGTTTCAAACAGGCGCCTCCGAGGGCTCGTATTAGAAACAGATGTGTTGAAGGGTGAGCTGCAAGGAATGGGGAAAAGGCAGGGCAGGAGAGGAAAGGAGAGAGGGAAAAGGGGCAGGGCACAGGGAGCACCAGGAAGGGCAAAGGCGGAGAGTGACTTGGGGAAGGACGTGGAAGGGGAAGGGAAAGGGTTGGAAAGGGGAGAAGAAAAGAGAGCAAGGGGATAGGGAGCAGAAGAGCAAGACTGAGGGAGATTGAGCAAGGGGCTGGCGTGTGAGGAAGACTTGGAGAAAATGGAGGAGAGGAGCCGGAACAGAGGGAATCGGGCATGTACCACGTTTTTCCTGAAACAGGGTCTGGGGCAAAGAGAAGAGCCCTCCTGAACGGTCCCTTCCTGGTGTCCCCGGGGCAGGACTCCTGAGGCCTCAGATGCCCTAAAGCACAGGCTGCCACGCTGGGCTGGAAGCAGGCGGGTTTGCAGGACAGGACACACCAGGGATGTGTGCAGCGAGAGTGACAGGAGGGGCACTGGGAATATCTGAGGGGCCAGGGCAGGGAAGGCAGGCGGGCGGGCTGAAGAAAAGTCACGCAATGCACTGTGGAAGTGAGGGGTCCACCTGGAGATAGGACCAAAAGTTAGCTGGAGTTGAGCAGCTCAGGGAGCCTACCAGGTGTGGCGGGAAGACAGTGCCTGCCCTGGGCACCAGGCCGTGGGAGAACGAGCCTCAGCTTTGAACTGACTAGCTGGGTGACCCAGACAACTTACTCCTTATCCGGGGGCTCTGTTTTCTTAGCTCTAAAACAGAAAAACTAGATGGTTCTGAAGTTCCTTCCAGCTCTGACAGCCTACAACACCAGGAGTTTGAGGGAGAACGTTCTAGAAGAACTACCAAATAAAAGTGAAGGGGCAGTAAGAAGTCACCCTGAATTAGGTGGTTAGAGTTCTCTGTCTTTTTTGAAACCTTACAAACCAACTAGATCATACGCATGCCTGTCTAGGCCAGCCTCAGGCTGGTAATCACCCAAGTTAGAGGGATAAAAGAGGTGGACTAACCCAAACTGTTGCTCAAGTAGGGCAGGTGGGGAGGGGCTATTTTCTAAGTTCTTTCAGCCGAGTGTTGCAATACTGTTCTTGTGCACAGATGGCATAGCTGTGTGGCACCTTTGCCACATTTAGTGACCTCCACCACTAAGCTACCAATCACCAGAGGTTCAGTACAATCAAACTTCGGAGTCGCCCTATTAAGAACAGGTAGCATTCACTCAGTCCTTGCTAGACTGAACACTTTCTACAGACTGTCTTGTTCACTTGTTTATTCTTCACGCCACTGTTTGCCCATTATTATCACCCTCATTTCACAGATGAAGAAATCAAGGTATAAAGAGATCAGGTAACTTGCTCACAGCCACAACTCATAATGAGCAGAGATGGGATTTGGTTGTAGGTTGTCTGCCTCCAGAAAGTACTTACTAAAGCACCCGTGCAGGACAGCCTCTGTCACTGCAGAATGCCTCAGACGTATTCTTGTAGCCAAGCCAGTTCAGTCCTCCTCTTCCAGTGTAAGATGTCCGTGTGATCTTACCCTGTAGGAGTAGTCTGGGGAAGGGAAACAAAACTGACAGTTTTTGAGCACCTGCTCTGTTCCAGCACCGTGCTGGGCACAGTTTACAGTGGCAAGTGAAAAGTGACTTTGGTGCACGTGGTAAGTTGAAATCAGCTGGTGTGCCGGGATGTGAACATCGACGATGGTCATTCTCTTAGTTCACAAGAGGGAAGGAGCTGGCTAAGACGTGGATCGAGAGAGATGTGATTGGTTTACTGCCCTTCTTTACCGAGTGCCTGCTCTATGGAATTTTGCCTCTGATGAGAAAATAGGCTGTTGGGTTGATACTCTGCCTTTATAGAGAACCTGCCTCTCATCATTTCTTCCTTGGGTCTGTTTTGATAAAATGGTCATGAACTAAAGGCCAGGTAGAAAAGAGGACTGCTGATGTAGAATTCCGTACAAAAGGGTTTTCACTATTCACGCCTACTATTAAGCTTTTGCCACATCTTGGCCTTTGTCAGGCATACTCAGACTTACGACATCCTGGCTCTAAGCTGTTGGAACTGTTCCAGGAAGAGATAGGCATCTGAGGAGAGCCGCGCTGAAGGAACCCCTCTCTAGCTGACAGCCCCGCATGGGTCGGAAGCCCACGGGGAAAGCAGTTCTGTGGGCTGATTTAGCCCTCACTTGCACAATGGCTTTGAGTTGTAGTGTGCCTGGGCACTGTTTAGCAAAGCCAAAAAGAAAACCCACAGAGTTGCTTCAATCCTAAAATCATCTACTGGTCCTTTAAAGGGGCAGTTCAGGGGATGTTTCCGATCACAGTTGTCATGATTTCTGGCCTCTTTTTTCCCCCTAGAGAATGCACAGTATCGGAGGGGTTCTGGGAGGGCTGAAAGTGTTCATAGTCTGAACAAGGATGGGGCAGTGGACTCCTGGCTTTCTGGACCTGCCAGTGAGTGAGGTCAAATGCCCTGCCCCTCTGATGTGAATGAACAAGTAGTGCTCTGAGCACCATGGAGCAGAGAGAAGGGGGACTCCAGCCCCAGCCCCTCCTCTGACCACCACCCCGGTCCCCTCTCTAGCTGTTCAGGTCCTCATTATTCTACCTTAATTTCTCTCCGGGACTTCTGTAGCCACTACTATATTCCAGTCCTGCCTGTCTTCTCTTCTCTATCCTACTCACTGCTACCCAGGTAACCTCGTAAGGCAGCTGGTATAATGCAAGCAGCTTGAACTTAAGAATCTGGCAAGCTCTCTGGGTTCCTGTTCTGACTCTGTTGTCTAAAATAGGGATAGGGGTGGGGTGGGGGATACTGAATTCAGGATTTCTATAATTCTATGATCTTTCTCCCTTCTTCAAAAAATCTTTAGTAGTCCCATTGCTTTTGGTATTGAATACAAACACTTCATTCTGATATCAAAGATTTTACACAATATCATTCACAACTCCTGCTCTACCCATCCCCAGATAACTCTCCGGGGAACCTGGATTACTTCCTGTGCGCTAAACATGTCCCATGCTTCTTTCTGATTTTCTGTGTTTTTGTTTATAATAATCCCTCCAGCAAAAATGCCTCATTTCCTGTCCCTGTGGATCAAAATCTTGTTCACCCTCCAAGTCTCACCTCAAATGCCACTTCCTTCATATTGCCCTTCCATGGTTTCACCAGCTGAATAAACTCTTTCTGCCCCTCCTTTGGATCCCAATGGCCTTCCTCTTATGCTACTTTGTATTATGGTGATCCAAGTGCTTATCTAATACCCCATTAGAGTGCAAGCTCCATGAAGACAAGGACTGTGTCTCATTGTCTGTGTCCCACCTTTGGTACCTGCATAAACACTGTGAACTATTTCTTAAGAGACAATCACATTTTTTTGAAACTTTTGAAGCATTTAATGTCAAGAGAGGTGAAAGATTTTAGGACTATTACTCTTTGACGGTGGGACAACACAGTTGTGAGGAGCCCAGTTTAAATTCAGCTTCCTCTTGTGCTTCTTTGTCCATGAATGCAAATAAGACCAAGTCCCATTTTTAAAAGATTCTATGTAGAACATTACAGGGACAGGGACCAGATAATATATTTGTTATATAAATTTATTTTGTTATAATGAGTGCGTTAGTACCAGATTAACAAGACACTTCTCCGTTGAAACTTCTGCCAGGATGGGGAAGGAGGTTGGTTTCCTAGAAAATGAGTTTGAGAAAGGCTTGCATGCGTAGTCCCTTGGACTGCGGTATAATGACAAGTCTCGGTGGGATTCCATGTCCTTCCTTCGTCTTCCCACATTAATGATGATGATTATAATAATGATATATTCTCAGTAGGCTCATATCTTGTCTCATCCTATTTTTGTCTTGTGCTCAGCTGGGCAGTGTACACATGAGCGTATTTCATGAATGTATCTAATGATGATAGGCATTTTTCCAAGGTACACTCAAAGATTGTCAGAACTGGGGAAAAGCTGAGACTGTCTAAATCAACGGTTCTTAAAATTTTGAGTCCCAGACCCCTCTGAAAATCTGATGAAAACCACAAAACTGCTTCTCAGAAAAAAGACATATATATATACATATATATATATATATATATATATATCAAATTTTACCAATAATTTTTAGGGTCTCATTGACCTCCTGATACTATTCCTTGGAACCCAAATTAGTGCTTGATCTAAAACTATCCCTTCTTTTATGGTGAAGAAGAAACCAAAGTTAGAGAAATTCGGCTGAGGTTCATAGCTAGTTTAATAAAAGAGCCAAGACTGGAACCCTAATTCCATCATCTGTCCTAGTACATATTCTGGAAATAGAAAAATGTCTCTCCCTCCTTTTCAACTCATCTAGTTAAGCTTCGAGATCACAGTTGCTCTTCCAATGCTTCAGTTAAGTAAGCTACATGCTGAATAACTGGCATTGGTTTTTATGTTGAGAAATTGCCTGAAAAATAGGGCAGATGTCGTAACATTTCAATTTAGCCATCATAGCTGGAAATCCTGGAAACTCCTTCAGTGCCATGTATGATGTCTAGAAAAAGGAATTAATACCAACAGTCCCAAAGATATGGGT